CAGTGATATCACCTACACCATTTCCCATGAAAGTTTGGAATCACGTGCTCTGGATTTCATCGATGGCAGCGAAGATATCGAGAACATTTGGGTATACTCACACCCCCTTCACGAAGCCCAGTTGACTGCAGGTCTCCTCTATCATGCATTCGTAGTGCTTGAGACCGATGAGTGGTGGTGGTCCATCGAGAAGAACACGGGAGGAATATTCCTCCAACGCAGCAGAGGTAAAGAGTTCGTGAAAGAGCATTTTCGAATGGAGAAGCGGGAGGTGCCCATTACTCTGGAACAAAGCGACAAAGGCCAGATGAAGATGAAAGATCTGCTCCATAGCTTGTACGAGAAAAAGGAAGTGCGTAAAGGGTACAAGTTTGACGATCGAGATATGAACTGTCTAGGGTTTGCTAAAAGGGTATTTGATGAATTCGCCGAGAGTAAATTCTGGGAACTCATCCTACCTTACTAAGGGAGTGGACTTACGACACTGGTGAGCTCCGAACAAGAGGATGCAGATTTTCCAGCTTTTTTGTCTTACTCTTCTTGATATCGTCCTGATTGCTTAATAGGTAGTTTTTCTTCTGGTGATGAGGAAGAGGCTTCATGTTCTGTTTCGTGTCCCATGGAAATGAACACTATTTATTTTAACTGTGAATTACTCTCCAGATTTGCTTTTTAAGCTAAAGGATATCAAATTTCAATTCCATGATGATTATTGAATTCTAATAGACATTCTGACAGAAAACATTCCCGTTACTTTAGTCATATAGTGATCCCTTCGGTAGTTGACAGGCAAACATTGCCTGCGGAAACCCCTTCGCAATTGGGGGAGCGGGAAGTATCCAGGTAGAAAGCCTATAACAAAATTAAATATTTTTGAAGCTCCTTTGGAGTAGTTAATGTTTGGTGTAGACCGAGGAGGACATGAATTCCCCATTTCCATCATTTCATCAGCAGGAATGTCCATTCAAGTGTCCCTAGTTCCTGCAACACATCGATAGTCCATCACCTACTGCTGTTTCCATCAACCTCATCCCAAGAACAGCACGAAGATGTACAATGAATCAAAAGCAAAAAACAATCGTGAGTCCAACCTAACAGCGGCACGATATCCGGCAATCAATGGAGACAGGGACTCTAGCAAGCACGCTGAATCTGAATGAACTATTCAGCCTGATGAGAAAGAAATGGAACATTCGTTGCTGCTCAAACAATGCTCGTCAAAATCGTTGGTGACTCGGTAGACGGCGCATATAATCACGTTGCGACTCATCTGTCTTTTCTTCCAGCTGTCCTTTATTTAAGGAACATTAGTTGGTGACCTTAAGAAATTGCCGTAGTTGGAAACTGTTGGCGGATATTACTTAAATGCCAGCGCTGGAGCAGAGTGCTCCAAAAACAGTTCTTTGAGGCTCTCGGGCCCTTGCAGCAGATGAGCGCACAGGCACCTGCTGGAAGCACCTGCTGTACGTGGATACATCTGCTGCAAAAGCGCGAGAGTCTCAATGAACGATTTTCGGAGCTTAACGTTTGCCTATTGCATTTCCGTAAAAATCCGCCAAAAATTACCATCACAATTTATTTGGACCACCAACAGTTTCTTAAGTAAAGAGACAACTAACATTTCCTACTGTGAGTGGAAAAATCAATTTTGTTTTTCGTCTACCGAGTAATCACCTATTTCGACGAGCTTTGTTTGAGTTGCAACCAAAGTTTCATTCCTTTTGATCAGCATACCCATATCTAATATCGTTTCTAATAGCGATATGGTGCAGCGCCGACCATACGAAGGGCATTTTTACCTTATACAACTATATATTCCTTATTTTCGCTGGCTATTTCTTGCGAAAATTTGGCACGGTGTGGCAACTCAAAGGGGGCTGGGCGATTTCTTTCCTCCGGATGCTTCATGAAGCTGAATTTCGTAACGGGAGGGCGTTGAATGGAGTGCGATGAGTAAGATGTCGAGTGGACGGGTGCAAGACCTTCGCCTAGACTGATGCTAAGTCTGCCTCTTTCGCTGGGCGTCAAGGAGGAAATCGAGTCTGCTCGCATGCCTGACCTTCACTGCTTCTCGGAATGGTTGGTGATGTCACGCGTCGTCCTCTGTCAGGAGTCGAGGGCAAATGGCAACGAGATTGTGTGTATATGAGGGTATGGAGCCCTCAAGAATTTCGTCACTACCTGTTAACCATAATAAGGCCAAAAATGGGCACACCTAACCTTTTCAAATAACTCAGATTTGGAAAAATATACATGGGTCGCCCCAGAAGTAATAACTACAATTCCTTTTCCTTTGTTACCTTTAATCCTTAGTACACGAAACTTGTATACATAATCACTTGGAATGTTGAGAACAATGTATTGTTTTCTTACGTAATCACCATTTCTTTCACAACATTTCCGCCAGCGATGTTGCAGGTCCTGCATGCCGCTACGGTAAAAAAAAGTTCCCGGACCCGCTTCTGCAAGGTTTCTTGAACTTGAATGTCATTCTGAAAGTGATGTGCACGAGTAGCGTCTTTGAAGGGCCAAAAGAGGAGGTAGTCTGACGAGGCCGAGTCCGGACTGAAAGGAGGATGAGGAACAAGTCAACAAGTCGTGCAAAAGTAGGTCCGGAATCCATTTACCGTAGTGGCATACAAGCCCTGGAACATCGCTGCTAGAAATGTTGTCAAAGAAATGGTGATTAAGTGGGAAAAATACCGCTTTGATCCCAGCATTTCAAGTGATCGTGTACAAGTTTCGTGGACTTAGGATTAAAGATAACGGAGACCAAAAAATTGGAGTCATTACGTTTGGGGCGACCCTTACATACATAATTTTAGGTTTGGCTAAGGACGCCCTCTCTACCAGGGTCAGTCAATAAGTTCTGAGACCCACTCCTTAGTTTCCACCGGGGGCTAAGATAGGAAGCTTTTGTGTGTGTGCGTTATAAGTCACTCATCTAAGTATTTACTGGTTGTGTATAGATTGTCTGAATGACCTAGTTTAGATCTGGCGTACTTTAATTGAAGCATATGTTTGTCGCTTCAGAAACGGTTTCAGTTTTCGATGAGGAAGCATAACGGCAAATAATTCGATTCAATGTGTTACTGGGCAAGAATGTGCATGAAATCCACCGTGATTTCATGCAAATGATGGGACCAAATGTTTCAGGTCTTTCAACAGTTCAGAGTTGGGCTGCCAAGTTCCGCGACGGAAGAGAATGCATTGATGATGTCCCAAGGTCTGGTCGACCGCCGTCTGCGATTAGCAATGAAAATTTGGTGCATGTGAGACAGCTACTGGAGCATGATTGTCGAATAACGGAATATGAAGTCGCTTTCGAGTTGGGGATATCACATGGGAGCGCTCACACAATCCTCATCGTAAATTTTGGCAGAAAAAAGGAAGAAATGTGAAGAAATCTTCCCAATGGGTTCCGCACATTCTCAAAGACAAACAAAAAGTTTCAAGATTGACCATCGCTCAAGCTCATCTGCGACGACTACAGCGAGAAGGCCCTGCTTTTTTGGATCGCATAATTGATGGTGACGAAATGGGCAACCAGGCTGGCCGTTTCTGAGAAGCTGAAGGAACGTACATCGAAATGGACTGGATGGAGGCATTCCAACCCTCCCACATAGGTGGCAATGTGTTGTAGACTGCCTTGGAGAGTATTTTGAAGGATCAAAATGGAAGTATTTTCTAAGCTGGCTTTATTCACTTTTTGATGAGGGGGTCTCAGAACTTATTGACTGACAATCGTAAATATACACATATCTTTGAAATCGGTTTAAGGGACGAAACTAAGAAAACTCCTGGTTATGTTGACTTTTTTTCTTAAACATTTTGATTTGGTAGTAAAGAATTTCATAGCACATTAGAACGCTATGAACACATATTGAAAAGCACGACCTCGAGTGACTGATGGCCCCTTCGTGGGCACCAGCCACCCCGGGGAGTCTTCAGGCTTATCACTGTTCCATTCTACAGCAGATGCTCTAGAAACACGCTTTTTACTCGACTTCACTCTGCGTCGCTTGTGTTTACGAATCCAGAACGCTGTCAGACAGAGATAGACTGAACGAATCATTTCCCTACGCCTTCCAGAGAAGCAGTCAAGGCCACTCAGAGAGATATACGACTTATGAGAGGCTCGAGCAGCATTACCCATCGTGTTGACGAACCTTCCATGTCATGCAGAGTCAAGGAGAGGGCTCGTGATGTCCTTTCCCACTCATTAGCAATGGCGTCCGTACTTCGTCAACGATTCCGCAACTGTTACTCGTTGCACAGGACTGCATCAGATTTCATGAACGGATGTGTGGATGACAGGTGTTCGCCATTGAAGGGCGAGGCGCGAGACCCGTCCCATGAACGCAGCCACAGTGATACTGGGTCAGCGCTGTGAATTCATTCCATACTGGAGGGAGGATCCTTTGCTTGTGATCGTCTATTGACGCGAGGTACGTGCTCCATTCCCTCGAGTTTTACAGGGTATATCTGCTTTTCTTCCATGGTGAATTGTAAACACATTCGTGTAGACTAGGGAATAAAGCAGTTAGAATCCTCGGCGCAACTGATAGCAACTCCATTGCCATTCTCATGCGAAATCAAAAGATTTTGCAGATTACGAAAGCAGACGTCTTGTACAGGGCTACCCTTTCCTTTCCGAGATCTTGTGATAGCAGATTATTCTCTTGCTCTTCGTAGCACTCATGGCATTGTACCAGCCTACTTTGGAATAAATTGAGGTGGAAGGAGGCACCTCCACGACTGCTGCATTGCGGTATTTTACCTTGTATTTCCGGGAAGAACTGTGCTTTCTTCAATGTCATAGGGTAAAACTACCAATATTTCAACAGTTGAGCTAGCCGAGCCTCATCATTCGCTTGTCCCATCTCAACGGTACAAACTGGAAGCTTAATTTTTTTGCTCATGGGAGCACGACACTGAGAGGTCTGAGTGCCATAAAGATGTTGTCCTTCCTCCCTTCATGACTACCGATATTGCCAATAATGTGGATGTCCGAACTTAAATGGAGAAAAAATTAATTAGTTTGGACACTTTCACCCTAGTTGCGACACCCTGTTTCAAAGTCTCAATCAGGGTTGAAACACTTCATTTTGATGTGAAGGAATGATAACCCGCTCCTAAAGTGTTGAATCTTTCCTCTATTTTCTAATGTAGGATGATCGTGATTGAGTGAGTCAGCGACTGACTTTAATTCTAACCATGTTTTAAATGAGATTGAAAGATTTGAATTGCTGAGCTGAAATGCTTAACGAATAAATGAGTTTGCAGGAGGCAGAAGAATGGAGAAATAAATTCCATATTTTCTTTGTACTAACAGGACGTCCCTGGAAGGTCAGCTGTTTCAGTGGAATCAGCAATTATACAAGATGGGAAATAAACATTCCAAGGGTGGGAACTGGGAGAACGTGCTCTACTTTATTCCGGAGAGTGACAAAACCAGTGACATTACCCACAACATTGCCCACGAAGGTTTGGAATCATGGGCTCTGGAACTCATCGATGGAAGCGAAGAGATCGAGAACGTTTGGGTTTACACACAGCCTCCTCACGAAGCCCAGTTGACTGCAGGTCTCCTCTATCATGCATTCGTAGTGCTTCAGACCAATGAGTGGTGGTGGTCCGTCGAGAAGGACACGGGAGGAATATTCCTCCAACGCAGCAAGAAAAAGGAGTTCGTGAAAGAGTATTTCCGAATGGAGAATCGGGAGGTGCCACTTTCTCTGGAAGCAGGCGACAGAGGGCGGATGAAGATGGAGGATCTCATTCATTGGTTGTACAAACAAAGGGAAGTGCGTAAAGGGTACAGGATAGACGATCGAGATATGAACTGTCAAGGGTTTGCGAAAAGGGTATTTGATGAATTTGCCAAAAGTAAATTCTGGGAACTCATCATCCCTTAGTAAGGGAGTGGACGTACGACTCTGGTGAACTCCGAACAAGAGGATGCTCAGCAGATTTTCGATATTTTTATGTCTTGCTCTTGGTAACATTGTTTTGCAGTTTCCCCGTCTTGTAATGAGGAAGAGGATTTATGTTCTGTTTCGTGTTACAATGAACTGAATAATATTTGTTTTAAATTTGCATTATTCTCCAGATTTCCTTTTCAAGCTAAAGGATATAAAAACCCCATTCCATGATAATTATTGAATGCTAATTGACACTGACAGAAATCATTAGCATTCCCATTACATTTTTCATATAGTGCCCCCTCGATGGTTGACAGGCAACCAGAGCCAGTGGTAACCCCTAGGCGGTTGTGGGAGCGGGAAGTGTCTAGGGGAGAGAGCCCATAACAAAATTAAATATTATTGAGGCTCCTTTGGAGCGGGTAACCCTTCAAGTCGTTTTCACGTACAACGTACGTTCATCACCTAGGAGGTCTAGTCAAAACTCAGCGCTTTAAGGGTTAATGTTTGGTGTAGCCCGAGGAGGACATGAATTCCCCATTTCCATCATTTCATCAGCAAAAATGTCTATGCAAGTCTCCCTTGTTCCTGCCACATCAATCGTCCATCACCAACTACTGTTACTATTGGTTCAGTTCGACCTCATCCCAAGAACAGAGCACGAAGATGTTCCATGTATCATAAGCAAAAGCATTTGTGAGTCTGGCATGACAACCGGCAATCAACGGAGACAGGGCAAGCACGCTGAGCCTGATCAAAAAGGAACGGTACTTTAGTTCAAGCTTGGTGGCTCAAGCAATGCTCGTCGAAGTCGTTGGTCACTCGGTAGACGTCGATTATATTCACTTTGCGACTCGCGATAAAACTTTCAGACGCCTTTTATTCACGGAACTCTAGTTGGTTACTTTAATATACTCGTATTGCCATAGTTGGAAACTTTTGGCGGATTTTACTTTATAGCCAGCGCTGAAGCAGAGTGCTCCAAACATCCATAAAGCTCCGAAAACCGTTCTTTGATGCTCTCGGGCTCTTGCAGAAGATGAAAGCAGAGATACCAACTGCAAGCACCTGCTGCATGGAGATACATCTGCTGCAAAAGCCGAGGGTCTCAGTGAACGTTTTCCGGAGCTTAACCGTTTGCCTTCTGCATTCCCATAAAAATCGCGAAAAGTTACCAAGTATGGTAATTTAGTTGATCACCAACAATTTATTAAATAAAGGGACAACTGACATTTCCTACCTTGAGTGGAGAAGTGAATATAGTTTACGTCTACCGAGTAATCACCGATTTCGACGAGCTTTCTATGAGCTGCAACCAAAGTTTCATTCCTTCAGCCTACCCAGATCTAATATCGTCTTTGATAGCGACATGGTGCAGCGCCCACAATACGGAGGGCATTTTTACGATATACGAGCTATACAGGGTGTCCCAAAAGGTATTGAAACATTTAAAAAAATAATATCTCTCTAAATTAGGCCTTAAATAAAATGATTGTAACACTAAAATGAAGTGCAACTCAAACATTTTTCTACCTGTTATTGCAATTCCACATGGCACCAATGTCTAAACGATGTTTGAGCTATCACACCTTTTGCAGAGTGTCAGGCATATCAATCAGGATAGCTCGGACAATTGCTTTTTTTTACCTTGATCGATTGTCTACTTTTCTCCTGTAAGCGATGTCCTTGATAAAGCCCAATAGAAAAAGCCCTCTAGGATTCGTTGACCACTAGAACCACCAGTACCTTACTTGGACGAATCAGGTTACGTTAAAAAAAGAGGGTACGGAATCGAACGATTTTACACCTCAACGTTGTAGAATCTTTTAAAGATAAAATAACACGGCCTTAGTTTCCCTCTTGGATTGTTTTTTCTTGTGGCGCTATTCAAGGACAATGCCAACTTTTCTTGAGTAAGCACTCTCCAATCTGATCTGAAGAGCAGAATTGTTGCAGCTATACATGGCACTGAGTAAGTTGTGGTAAAAGCTTGAACAGCATTTTGACGTCTACAGGGCCACAAATAACAGGTTGACAAATGTTTGAGTTGCACTTCATTTTATTGTTCTCATTATTTTATTTGAGGCATAACTTAGTGGTATATTAATTTTTGAAATGTTCCCATACCTTTTGGGAAACCCTGTATTTTCCTCAATTTCGTTGGCTATTGCAAAAAATGGCCACGGTGGGACAACTTCAAGGGGGCTGGGCGATTTCCTTCCTCCAGATGCTTCACGAGGTTGAATTTCGTAACGGGAGGAAGTTGAATGGAGTGCAATGAGTAAGAAGTCGAG